CTCTCTCTTTCTCTCTCTACTTATCGCATGATCCGTTGATCTATTTAAGGGGATAATTGATTCGATGATACATATTATAATCGTAACTGTATCACGTGTGTGCCAGATTTGGAACAGTGCACGACATGTTTCTTCTTTTGTTCAGGACATTCCACTTGGTGACATCTGTGACGCACCTTAATATTTGTTATGTCCCACTATTTACAAAAATAGAACAAAAATCGTATATAAACGGGACTTTAATCCAATATGTCTTTCAAAATTGAACAAAAAGAAACAAGAAGTAAGTCGCACTTTTCTTACAGTTGTTCTGACGGTTTTTAAAAAGTAGTACACTTATCCCCCCTCAGTACAACGTGTAGTGCTTTAGAATTAAGTGTAACAATCAATACGATATACACGGGAAACGTGTACTTTCGTGACCTAATGTTCTTAAGAGCATGCGGAACATCAATAAACTTGAAAGTTATAAGTCTGAATTTTTCAGTGGTATGCCACCTCAATTATTATAATCTTGCTGGAATGGACTAGATTAAAAGCAGAAGTCCACACTGGCGCATAAATACACACATTTGCACAAACACTCACACACACACACACACACACACACAAACATTCGCGCACGCGCATGGGCGCGCTGATTCATATAGTTTGAAGTGCACAGACATTGAGATAAAGGGAAAAAAATATTAAAAATTGGACTTTTAATGCCGGGGTCAATAAACTCTTGATACCAGATTAACAATTACGAATCCGAGGCCCGTTGAACTTAAACAACTTCAATTGATCTGTGGCCGGGGGGCTAATACTTTTACTTATGTCGTCAGTGGCAGAGTACATTGCACCATTTAAAACAAGTTATAAAAGCAAACATTTAACACAAAAAAATACTATTTCAGTATTATACTGATCACACCACACCTATCTACTGTTGATGACAAGCGCGCCAATTCCAAAGATACCCCGAGCCCCATTTTTCAACAATACTCTCTCCAATCTCAGCTTTCCTATAATCTGAATACCAACAGGGAGTCATAGAAAAATATCAATAATTTAGCAGTCCCAGATCAAGCAGCCATTCAAGGACAGACTGAAGTAATTATCCTGAGTAGTAGAATCTGGTGATTTTCCGCACGCCAGCTACGGCTTCGTTTGTACTACAAAACAGACAGAGACAATGGGTTTTGTTGTCAACGCCGCTCTCTCTGTCTTTCTGGCTCTCTGTTTCTCTGTCTCCCTGCCGATGTTTCTCTCTCTCTCTCTCTCTCTCTCTCTCTCTCTCTCTCTCTCTCTCTCTCTCTCTCTCTCTCTCTCTCTCTCTCTCTCTCTCTCTCTCTCTCACACACACCACCTTCTATCGAACATTCTTTACTTCCCCCTTTCTCTCACTCTTTCACAGCTAAGTCCACTCTCAGTTGAATGACGTTCACAGTCCGTTTTATTTGCTATGATAATTGATCTGCACTGTCTATTCAAAAGCGCAACCGGAAAGTGGAAGAAACAGCGAATAATTTGCCTCTTTTCCACTTGAGCCGTGTTCCATGGTTTATTTCCTGTATACAATGTGCCAGCTGATGACAGGATTATATTCAACTACGTCATCATCAATCATCTCAGTGAGAGTCTAAGCTCTAAAACGAAAAAAAACCACCCTGTGTAATCAGGGGGGATAAATTTGGGTTTTTGAGGATGTCATCATCATCATC